AGATAGATAGATAGATAGATAGATAGATAGATCAAGCAGATTCAGCATGGCTGAATAAAGGAGGAACCTCATTCAGAGCTACTGAGAAATTCAATAAAAAACACAGATAATTGGAAGAAAGAGGAGAGACCTATAACCTGAAACCAAAAATCAATGTGCAATAAAAGACTCATAGATCAAGCAAAACTTAGATACAGAACTTAATAAAATGGCCAGCCAGTTCACCTGGTTGCCCGTGGGTCACCCAGCTGTGGGCCAGAGACCGTCATACTGAGAAGCTTAAAAGAAGAAAAAAGGGGGAAAATGGAGAGACTAAAATAGTGTGGCTAAATCAAGCCACACATGATAGACTTGAGATACAAGGTCCCCTGCCTCTTTTGTGTTCCTCCAAACAGAAGATGCTACAGCCCAGCAGTAAATTCCACTGGCACACACACAGTAGTGAGTAAACTGTTCCTCCCTAAAGATAGGCAAGCATTTTTAAATTTTTCTTTACCTTTCTATTCTCCTTTCTTTTTGTGCACTAGTGCCCTAAGTGGAACTTTTAGGGACAAGATTAAAGACTACAGGAGTGGTAGGGAATGGAACAGCTAACCCCTCCCCCATAGCATGTAGCTAGAGAGGTGTGGGAATTAAACAGCCTTGCTGTGCAAGACTAGGCAGCCTGGGGCTGTCCCCACACTAGGAGACAAGAGCAGAATGTCACCCCACAGCACTCCACCCCCCCTCATCGTACAAGAGATTACAGACTACAGCGGAGGTGAGTGGTGGTGGCAGGAGTCCTTGCAAAGCAATGAGTGGGAAGTTAGCACTCTGCCCTGGGGAGAGAAGTGAGAATTGGGGCTGAGCAGTCTTGGAAGTCACCTGCAGGAGCAGAGGGAAGATTACATCATGGTACCCCTCCCTGCCCTGCAACAGGTGACCTGAGAGGATGGAGACTCTGGTGAAAGAGAAACACAGGAGGCTGTACAAGGTGGAGGAAGGGCCAACCACACACCGGACTGTGGAAAGA